ATTCCCTCCGGAGGAGCCCTGGCCATACGAGCACCCACCGGGCCGCACTAGCGACCAACGGGCCACGGTAACACCTTGTCTCCCCCCGCCTGGGGAGGGGGGCGAGGCGCGCGCGGGCGGCGGCAGCCCCCGAGCCCCCCCCCGGGGGGGGGGGGCGGGGGGAGGCGGCGAAGGGCTCCGGTTTCGGGCCCCGGGGCCCTCAAAGGATCGATCGGGCTCGAAAAATTACGCGGAAAGGTGGGGTCTAGGGCTGCATGCGTGATTTGTCCGGATGTGGTATTTTTTGCAACGTCGGATCTCAGAGACGGTTCGGTGACCACACCGTGTGGTGAGTCAGTGGGGATTCGAGGTGATCGTACGGTTTTGGAATTTGGGTCGCCTTCTGGGTCTCAGACACCGAGCCGCGGCGGACCGTGCGGTGGCTCTTTTTTGGGGGGCTTCCGAAGTCAAGGACGACCTCGAGGGCGCGAACTGTCTTCGCGCTTCGCGGTTCGGCTCCGATTCTTTCTCGTCCTCCCTTTCTCCCCTGGGGGCGGCGCGAGAGCGCGAAGTGATTCAGCGCGAAGCGCGAAATTGGGAGCCCTTGCAAGGTCGCCGCTCGGTCTGTCGCCGCACCGCTTTGGGACCCCCCCCCGCTCTGGAGAAGCGGTGCCGGGGGCCGCCAGACATGCCTCCCAGCTGCCCGCCAAAGACGCCGCCCGAGGCCGAGTCCTGGCGACGTGGACAGCGCGGACAGCACGGCCTCGGCGCCACCCCGCGCCGCCCGAGGGGCCGAAGCCTGCGCGCGCGCACGCGGGCGCGCCTTGTGCGCGCGCTCGCGCACTCGCGTGCGCTTTTGCGGCCTCGGCTCTGCGTTGTTGAGAGTGCGCGGTGGATGCAGCTCAGGATCAATCGTTTCCCCATCCTCCTTGTCCTCTCCTCCTGCACAGCGCAGTGTCCGCAGCGCAGTGCTTTTTACGCAGCATTGTCACACGGTGATCTCACGCAGTGCCACGGCCGCAGTGTCGAAACACTACGTTGTGCACATAGCTTAGGCTTAGCCCTGATGTCTTCCTCTCTTTCCTCTCCTTCTGCACAGCTCAGTTTCAACGAGGAAGCTTGTGCCATTCAACACCTACGGCTTGTTGCGCAGTTGTTGTTAACAGAGTACCGAAACACTGCGTCGTTGACACTGCGCTGCAGGGTCAGCTTGACTCTCTTCCTTCCTTCTCTTTCCACCTGCGCAGCGCAGTGTCAACAACGCAGTGTGGTTACGCCGTGCCTTTTCGCAGTGTCAACGAAGGTGTCAGCCGTGTAGCGCACGGCGGGGAGCCAAGTCTCAAGACCGCAAGCATTGACTTGACAAGTTCCGCTGTGCTGTTCTAGCTTCAGCCGAGGGTTCCGCGAGTGGGTTGAGAGTGGCTTGGAGAGGTCCAGGAAGGGTGCGAAGTCAACGGCGCCCTCGACGACGACCGGGTCAGAAAGCAATGTTGTTGCAGTGCCTTGTTCGGCGGCGAGCGAGGGGTGGAAATGAGGAGGAGAATGCCCTCTCAGAAGGTTCGGAAGTCCCCCGGCCTTCTGAAAAGTGCTCTGAGCCTTCCCCGAGCTCGCAGGTCACCGTCGCTTGGGGCAGGTAGACACTAAAACGAACAGTTCCTCTGCATTGCACAGTCTTCTCTTACGGTGCAGAAGCGTGATGCGCGGTAGCTTTGCTGTTCTAGCTTCAGTGTTGAAGTCCGCGAGTGCGACGAGAGCGTTTGGAGAGATTCAGGGAGAATCTGAAGCCCACGGCGCCCTCGACGACGACCCGAGCAGAAAGCAGTTCATGTGGCATTTCAGGTTCTTTTGCGCTGCGTTTTTCCTCGCTGCAGCTTTGTTGTTCGAGCTTCAGTTTGGGATTCCGCGAGTGAGACGTGAGCGGTTTTCAGAGGTCTAGGCAGGACGTGAAGCTCGCGGCGCTTTCGACCCGATCAGGATGCTGTTGTTGTTTGCATTGCTGCTTGTTTGGCGTCATTATTCTTCTGTGCCGTGGCTCTGCTGTTCGAGCTTTAGCTGTGGACTCCGCGGCTGAGACGAGGGCGATGTAGATGGGCCCTGCTGGTCAAGCATGCCCGTTTCGGTTCCTCGTTTGGTCGAGATCCTGTTATGCGTGTCGGTCTGGCTGTGTCGGCTGGTCTGGTGGGGCCTGGCGTTTCGGCCGCCACGGACGGTTGCTCCTGGTGGGGGCCACATCCGAACCCTACCCCTACCCCCCACGATTTCTGGAGGGGGAGGGTGGAGGTAATTAGGGTTGATGTCCACGGCAGGTAAGCGACCGTCTTTCTTGATCGCCTCCTTTGATGCCCTCCTCTACCTCCTCTCCTTTGTTCATGATGCCCTCCTCTACCTCCTCTCCTTTGTGCTCGTCCTGCTGCTCCACACTTTGTCTCACCTTTTCCCTAATGCGCCCCCCTCCCCCAATGCGGGGAAGAGGCAGGAAAGGTGTGAATGGCCTCGGGAGTACCCTTCAACCGCCATGAGTGAGTGAGTGTGGGGGTAGGGTTGCATGTGGGGGGTAGGGTTCGCATGTGGCCCCCTATATGGCTGGTCTAGCTGGTCTGGAGGAGGAGCAGAGCAAGTCGGCTCCGCGCAGCGTTTCGCAACGCGAGAAGGCGCGCAGGAGCACGAGGAGGAAGAGCAAGGCTAAATTTACGTTAGGCCTGTCCCTCTACAGGAGGAGTATCCACAACTGATTTACAACATAGTCTTGGGACGATGTGCTGACTGTTCTTGAATAGTTTTGAGCATTTGTTGACTCTTTTTGATTTTCGTCCAAATCCGCTTCTATGGGGGACATGCCCGACCTCAGGCTACATGGACGGCCAATGAGTTAAACTCATCAAGTCTGTGATGACAGCGGCAGCCCGGCAGTGGGAGCGGGGGGAAGCGGACAGTGGAACACGAGTAAGATCACGACGGGAGGAGGACGACGAGACCAATCAAGGACAGACAAACACAGCGGCACATGCAACATGGTCACCAGCACCAGCGTGACGACGAAACAGGCGTCGAGGAGGGGCGGAGCAGTGGCTGCCAAACTAGTTCCTGCGCTTCCAAGCACAGTGTGGCGGCGGGGCGTGAGAACCTGTCGTTTCAGACGGATTAGTGCAAGGCAGTGTCGAAACTTTGCGCTGTTGGCACTGCAGTGCGAAGGCAGCTCAGGGTTAGTTAGGCTTCGCTTCCTCCTTCCTTCCCTCCGGTTGTTCCTCCTCCATTCCTTCAGCCTGTTCCTCCCCATCTCTTTTTACCAACTTGTTATTTGTCCCTTTCCTCTGCAGTTTCTCTCTCCTCCCCTCCCCCTCCTCATGTCAACAGTGCAGTGTTAACAAACCAATGTCAACAGCGCAGTGTCCACAAGGCAGTGTCAACAGCGCAGTGTCAGCTACGCAGCGTTTTGCACGCTGGGTCGAAAAATGCATGGAAAAGATTGCGTGGCGATATCATGTCAACGAAAAATGGTTGACTCAGTCTTATTTTACCGATGCAGCACCAGCGCATCCAGCATCAGCACCCATGTATCCATTACATAGCAAGACCGCAGTACCAGGCGCAACAGCACCAGCGCATCCAGCATTACCAGTGTTTCCAGTAAGATGGGGGCCAGTAGTACCACGCGCTGCAGCGCTAGCATACCCAGTTGCATTGCTTCAATGGGAGCAAGAAGTTCCTTTTTGCAGCACCGCTCGCGCATCCAACAGCACCCTCCGCAGCACAACGGGAACATGCAGTACCAGCATAAACAGCGCCAACGCATCCAGCAGTACCCATGGAAACACAAATTACGATGAAAGCGGCAGTGCCACGCGCAACAGCATCAGCGCATCCACCAGCGTCACCGTTCACAGGACGACGTAAATCGGCAGCAACATTCGCGGCAACCCCAGCATATCCAGCATCACCACTGTCCGTTCGAAGCAGCGCCAGCGCGTCCAGCGACGCATGAGCCCCAAGCAGTGCGTTGTTCTGACGTTGACCAACCTCGGGTAGCAACTCATAGGATGCAGCATACAGGTGGCAACGCATGAAGTAACATCGATGGTGTTCGACGGATGGGGTGCAATAGTTTCTGCGCAACTTATGGAATACAACTTGAGAGGGCGACATGTGATGTGCAACGCATGCAATGAAAATCCTTGGGCCTTACGGGAGAGTGCAGCTTGTGTAGTGGCACATAAGCTATGCAGCAGTGAAGGGTGTTATGCGATGTGCAGTCTACCCGCGTGATCTACGGGCGGGGCCGCATGGACGGAACCCAAAGGCCAGACGTTTGTGGCGCCCACTGGGGCCCAGCGCTCGGGACCTTTTCGGCGCTCACCAGCCGCAGCGGAAGGGACACGCCCACCTGGACTTGGAGCTCACCGCCAGAACCCGGCGGGCGCCACCAGGACCCATCATTTGATGCCGTGGCCCACGGGGCGTTTTGCGGAAAAGTGCGGACGCATTGGGCAAGTTCGTTTGGACGAGAGCAAGAACCCATCAGTGCGAGCATTGCTTTGGGGATGCGATGTAGTCGCGTATCCATACATGTGTAGAGCGCGCGCACTGTAACCCTGCATTGGCTCTCAGTTGATACATCCTGCAGCTTTCCCATCCTGTGGCAGAACGAATGGATTTTCAATTGCCACCATGGTGGAAAGTCGCTGCCTTCACGGTCAACCTCCTTTGTGGGCTGATCATGTCGCAGGTATTGGGCGCTTGTTTGGACAAACCTGTCTACAAGGCCATAGCTGAGGTGGTTCATATTTTCACCATGTGGGCTCTTTCCTTTATCATGGTGAATGTCGGTTACGAGTTCACGATTGACAAGAAGAATTTGCCGCAATACGTGTGGGATTATCTAATTGCTATGACTGCAGCAGGCTTCCCATGGCTTTTCGTGGCACTGTGGTTCATGCTCTTTATCGACGGGCTTGCTGCCGATCAGGCCTTCCTGGTGGCCCGCTTCGCTGCTCCGACGAGTGCTGGGATCTTGTTCAGCATGCTCGAGGGAGCTGGCCTGCGGGACACATGGGTCTTCAGCAAGGCTCGAATTCTTGCCATCTTCGACGACTTGGACACGATCATTCTTATGATACCGTTGAAGATCGTCATGATCGGTTTCAAGTGGGAGCTACTGGTGGTGATAGGCATAATGATGATTATACGGCTCACGCCGCACCGTCGACCCTTTGGGCAAACCCTGAAACCATCAGGTCGGTGATTTGACACATGTCTGCTGCTAGGAGAGTCCAGGAGCAGGCGGAGCGCTTTAGGAAGGGAGATGTCGCAATAGAGTGATTTCGGGGAAGGCGATTTCAAAGGTCGGGGGGGCAGAGGCGTGGTGCGAGTGGGGATGAAGGGAAGGGGCCTTTTGAAAGAGTTTCACGGAGGCGTCTTGGGGTGCTCATGGCGCTTCTGGGAGGTCTCTTGAAAGCCATTCAGAAACATATGGGCCGTGTTCGGGCCCTCTCGGGCCGCCTTCGGGCCTCCCTGGAGGCCCCTTGGGCGGTATTGGGCTGGTCTAGGGGGCCTCGTGGCCCCTCCTGGGCGTCCTGGAGTTCGAGCACGGGAGCACCCCAGAACAATTTGTCTAGACGGGGGCTTCGTTCCTTGGTCCCCGGAGCCGGCCGGGTCGAGGTGGCGGCCGCGCCGGGAGATGCTCCTAGCCGTTCCGTGGCGGCAGAGCTCCCGCGACACGGTGCCATCCGCCGGCCCGCGGTGAAAAAGCGCGAAGGTGTTGCGGGGGTGTTGGGGCGCTGCTTATCTTCGACCGCTTCCCGTTCCAGTTCTCCTTCCTCGCCCCTTGCTCGTGCTCCCGTTGCTGCCCTTCGCCCTTGCCTCCTCATATCGTCCTCTTTCTACTTTCCATTTCATAGTTCCCCATCGGATCTTCAGTATAGGGCTCGTGACATTGTAGTGGCCTCTGGCCAGTGCCGCCGATCCAGGGGCGCGCCCGATGCGATCTGGTTGGTGGAAGGGGAGGTGGAGGAGTAGGTGGAGGATGAGGCGGAGGGAGGTGGAGGGAGGGATTGCCTCACGATGGCCCAAGACGGCCGAAGCAGCCCCCAAGAGGCTTCCAGGACGGCCCAAGAGGCCTCCAAGTGGACCTCCAGGAACGCCCGAAGAGGCCCAAGCCACTGATTTCCTGTAGGTTTTTGAAGGATTCGGGGGGTTCTTCCTTTTTGGCTTTCCGGAGGCCCAAGACGGCTCAAGCGGCCATCAAGATCGCCCCAAGAGCGCCCAAGAGGCTTCCAAGATTGCCCCGGGACAGCCCAAGAGGCCCCCGAAGACGGCCCCAGGAGTGCGCAGAAACGGTCCCAGATTGCCGCCAAGATGGCCAAGATGGCCCAACATTGCCGACAGGATGCCTCCAAGACGGCCAAGATGGCCCCAAGAGAGCCCAGGATGGCCCCAAGATGTCTCCAAGACGGCCCAAGATGCACCCAAGGCGGTCCAAGATGGCCTCAAGCTGGGCAAATACGGCCCAACAAGCCCCCAAGCGGCATCCAAGACAGCATGAGAGTACCCAAGAGGACCTCCAGGAAGGCCCGAAGAAATCAAAATCACAGATTTCCTGTTGGTTTTCAAAGGGTTTTGGTATTTGCTCCTTTGCGGCCTTCCGACGGCCCAAGACGGCCCAGGAGGCCTATAAGATGGCCCCAAGGGCGCCCAAGATGCCTCCAAGATGGCTTCAGGACCGCCCAAGAGGCTCCCAAGACGATTCCAGGAGGTCTCCAAGATTGTCGACTATGGCCTCCAAGACGGCTGAGATGGCCTCCAAGACGGCTATGAAGCTCCTCAAGAGGGCGCAAGTCAGCCAAGAGAGGCTCCCAAGACGTCTTCCGACGGCGTCGCGCCTCGTGCGTCGCGGCCCAGGCCGGACAGCTGCGGCGAGCTCTCCAGGGAGGGGGAGGAGGGGGAGGAGGAGGAGGAGGAGGAAGGAAAAAAGGGAGGCGGACGGAGCGGGGAAAAGGAGGCGGGGGAGGAGGAAGGAGGATGAGGAGGGTGGATGAACGATGATTGAAGGAAAGCGGTGATGACGATTGCGATGCGGTTGATGACGGTAATGATGACGATGATGATGATGATGATGATGATGATGATGATGACGATGATGATGATGATGATGATGAGTAGGATGATGATGAAGCTGACGATGATGAGGATGACGATGTTGACTGTACTGAAGATGACCATGATGGATGTTGATTATGATGGCCAGTACGAAAAGGATGTCGATGATGGTGGTGATGATGATGGCCATGAAGATGACGATGCTTTTGATGATGATGATGAGGATGGCGATGATGATGATGATGATGATGATGATAACGATGATGGTTACCGCAACGATAACGACGACGATGGTGATGTTGATAATGACGTTGTTGATGACGATGATGATGATGATGATGTTGATGATGGCGATCATGATGAGTATGATGATGATGTCGGTGATGGCAAGTATTAGGACTCCAACGACGACGATGTTGAGGATGATGGTGAAAATGACCGGATGATGATGATTATGACGATGCCTACGATGATGTTGATGATGACGATGATGATGGTGATGGCGAGGACGACGACGACGAGGACGATGACGACGACGACTAGAATGATGATGATGATGATGATGATGATGATGATGATGATGATGATGACGCTGATGCTGATGCTGATGATGATGATGATGATGATGATGATGTTGGTGATGGTGATGGTGATGGTGATGGTGATGATGATGGTGGTGGTAATGATGATGCTGATGATGATGTTCAGAATATGATTACACGCGCAAGATTTGTTTATTATCCTAGTGGCTTCCCGCCCAACCCGCCACCGTGCTTGGGTTGTGGGTTTGATGCCTCTTGTATGTGTGTCGGGGTGTCCTGGGAAGCTTCTCGGAGGCCTGTTGGACGCAGTTCGGGGGCCTTTTCGGGACAATTGCGCGGCCTGTTGGGCATCTTGGGGCCTATTGGGGTCCCCCTGAGGCCTCCTGGGGGGCCTCTGACAGGCCTCGTGGGCTTTCTTGGGAGCCTCTTGCGCCGGAAGACTCGAAGTGTTGGGTCGGGTTCCCTCTCTGGGGCTTCTGTTGGGGCCGTCTTGGGGCCCTCTCGGAGCGCCTTGGGTGCCTCCGAGGTAGTCCTGGCCTTCTTGGGCCGTCTTGGGTCCCTCATGAGTAGCGTTGGGGCTCCTTGGGCAGTTTGGGGGCACTCTTGGGAGCCTCTTTGGCCGTCTTGGTGCGATCTTGGGGGCCTCTTGGGCCGTCTTGAAGCGTCGGAAACCCGAAAAGGCGAGCATGTCAAAATCCGTCAAAAAATGCCGGAAATCAGACGATTGGGGCCTCATGAGCCCCTCTTGGGTGTGCTGTTGGAGTGCTCTTGGGGTCTCTTGGGGGGGCCTTTTCGGCGTTTTCCGGGCCTCTTGGGAACTCTTGGAGACGTCTTGGGCCGTCTCAGAGGCCTCTTGAAGGCTTCTTGGGCCGTCACGACGCCATCTTTGGCCGTCTTGGGTACATCTTGGGCCGTCTTCGAAATATGTTGCAGCAATCTTGGGCTCTCTGGCATCCAGGGTGGCACTCTGTTGTGTTTCCCATGGCCCGACCCCCCCCCCCCCGGAAAACGCAGCACACCACCTCCCTACCCCAGCAGAGCCACCCGGGCACCCACCCCCCAGCAGAGCAGAAGCTCAGGAACTGAAGCTGAGGCTACATCTAAGGCTCTTTCAAACTCACACGCCGGATCGGCGGATTTGTGCCACGCCCCCGCATCATAAATTCACCCGTTTCCTTGCCTATACGCATTCATGGCCCCACGTACTCAGACCTGGTTCCTCGCTCATCCTGATTCACGCACACACAGATGCGCTCTTGCTCAGATTCACCCACGCTCAGGCACGCTCAAATTCATACTCACTCGCACTGAGACCCACTCCGGCTCAGACTCTCCCACGCCCACGACGAAGCGGATTCACTCACACTCATATCATTCACACTAAGTCCCTCCAATACTCAGATTCGCCCACACCTCATCTGACCCACCCATACGCAAAACCTCCGTGCATCCATGCACATGTAAATTTCTTAGCTGCCATGATACGCCCGTATTGGATACGCAAGACGTGCCGGATTGATACGTACCGGATTGATACGTTACGTATTGGTCCAGTACGCAGGCCGTCTTGGGGCTCCGTATTGAGCACCGTATTGAGCTGCGTATTGGGACCTTCTTCCTCCCATCCTTTTCTCTTGCAGCTGCTCTTCGTCATCCTCCGCCTCCTCCTCCACTTCCTGCCCTTCCGCGCGGGCGGCGTCGTCGTCCGTTGTCTGTGGAGCTCCCCAGGGGCCTCAGTGGAGAACAAGGAGATTCGGTGGAGGCAATAGGGCCCGCGGAGAACATTTGAGATTCGGGGTTTTAACGCTTCGTCTGAGGTGGACCTGGGGCCCAGGGGAGGTGTTATACGGGCCCCTGGGAGTTGGTATGCGAACATCTTGGGATGGGCCCAAGGCCGGTGAGCCTGTTGGAGTCATCTGGGGCCGTCTTGGGATGCGCCCAAGGCCTACGATAGGTCAAATCGGGCCGTGTTGGAGCACGCCCTCTTCCCAACTGGCCTCCTCCCACCTCCCATCTGGGGGAGGGGGGGAGGCCTTTGGTGGGGGAGCGGCGATCCTGTTGGAGTCATTTGGGGCCGTCTTGGGATGCGCCCAAGGCCTGCGATAGGTCAATTCGGGCCGTCTTGGAGCACGCCCTCTTCCCAACTGACCTCCTCCCACCTCCCATCTGGGGGGAGGGGGGGAGGTCTTCGCGTGGTGGGGGAGCGGTGAGCTTGTTGGAGTCATATGGGGCCGCCTTGGGATGCGATGTAGGGCGTTGGGCCTGGGTCGATTCGGCGTTCCGTTTCCCGCGTTCCGCTCGCCGTTCGCAGTAGGGCTGCCTCAGCGAACCCTGCCAGACAGTAGCGAATCACACCCGACAGTAGCGAACCCCACCAGACAGTAGCGAACCCTACCAGACAGTAGCGAACCCTACCAGACAGTAGTGTCACCAGACAGTCGCGAGTGTAACGAACCCTGCCAGACAGTAGCGATCCCTACCAGACAGCATTCCCGAACGGAGCCAGGGTTGGTCGCGGCCGCCGCGCGGGCGCTGCCAGCGGACGCCCCGCCCGGCCACGTCGCGCACGTCAGGGTGCTGCGCGACGAGGGCGAGCACCGGGCTGCGTGGTGCAACGCGGGGCTACTGCCGGCGTTCGAGGTGACAGCGGGGCCCACCAGCGTCGGCCCCACCTGGGCCGCCATGCGCGCTGCCCGCGCGTGTTGCATGAAATTCCAGCAGGGCTCAGCAGGGTCTGAACAGAGAGACGGCGAACGCATTCCAGAGCGAGTGCTGCAACAGGTTCTGCATGGCGACCGTTGCCGCGGGGCGTCTGGCGGCCGCGGCGGAGCCCTCCGAAGGCGGCGCAGGCGCGGGCCCCGCGGCGGCCGCTGCGAGGCCTCCTGCGGCCGCGGCAGTCAAGGAAGAAAAAAAGACATACACGTAAACATTCAGAGGTCCGCGCGGATTTCCTGGATCGGCGCTGGACCCCCCTCTGGCGGCGCCGATCCCAGAAATCCGCGCGAACCTCCGGAAGTCTACGCTTATGTTGCTCTTGTTGTTCTTCTGGGAAGGGCCCCCGGGCGGCGGGGCCCCCAGCGGCCGCGGCCGGGGGCGGCGGCGCCAGGGCACAGTCAGCGCGCAGCAGTTCCGGCGGCTGGCGGCGCAGAACGGCGTCGCGCAATACGGCGCCAAAGCGGCGTCGCAGGCCAGAGCGCTGGCCGCGGGGATGAAAGCCCCAAGGCTGGACTCACGCGGGGTCGTCGCCAGGGGAGCGGTGGGCGACAGACACATCACATCGTCATATTTCCCATGATTCTTGCACGCACGCCGCGCCTCATCGTCGCCATCACCATCCGAACCCCCCCGATATGACCACGCATCGGCCACGCATCGGGGCGCTGGCGGACGGCGGCCTCTCGGGGAAATTGGGGGCCTCCTTTGCTGGGCAATCTGGGGCCCTCTTGATGCACGGCGGCCTCGGCGATCCACGCCGCCGCCCGTCCTCCGTCGCCGTCGCTTCTCAAGCAGGGTAGACGAGGCCCGCGGCGCCGTCTCGGAGTCGACTCCATCGCGCTCCGGCGCGATTGCTCTAGCCCCCGCGGCGTCGGCTGCCGAGCGCCCCCGCCCGCCCCCCCGCCGGGCGCAATTGCGCTTCAGCTTCAGCATGTTCGGGGCCACCCTCGACGCGCGCCTCGGCCTGGGCGATTCCGACCGCGGCCGCGAGGACGGTCAGCGCGGCGTTCTCGCTGTCGGCGGCGGCGGCGAGCACAGCGGCGGCGGCGGGGGCGGCGGCGGCGCGCGCGTCGCCGCGAACGATCACCACGACGTTCTCGTTGTCGGCGGCGGCGGCGGAGGCGCTGATCCTGATCCCGGAGACGCCCCTGGAGATTCGGACCAGTCGAAATCGGAGTCGCAGCTCGGCGATCTGGCGCCCTTCGGCCATGGGTGGGCAGACGAGCGCGGCTGCCCAGACAACCTTCTTCCATGGCTCCACCCGCCTATGCTGGCGAGGGTGGGGGAATTGTGGTCTCCTCGCCAGCGCAGCCACCCGCGGTTCGAGATGCCGCTCGCACCGCTTGGCGGCTACGTCGGGGCCCGCCCCCGCGCGAGCCATCGCCTCCGCAAGTGCAAGAGCGTGACGTTCTGCTGCGCGCGCGGGTGCCCATTGGAGCTTCGGTGCTCGCATGCCTTCCAGATCGCGCGCCCCGGGCGCCGCAGCGCGCGCGGGCGCGCCAGTGCCCGGGCGCCCCGCATGGGCGGGCACCCCGCCGGCGTCAACTTCTCGGGGGAATGAGGCGCCAGACGGGCGGCTTTCGCGCGGCGCAGTCGCGGGCGCCAGACGGGCCAGACTTGCCGCCTGCGCGCCATTGGGGAGGGGGCGGGGGGGGGGGGCGCAGCTCCTAGTGCCAATTCAGCAGCGCAGCTGTCTGTCACCCATGAGAAGTCCCCGTAAGAGGGCGAGGCGGGGAGTAGCAGCCCCAGGAGGTCGTTTAAACGCCCCGGGAGGCATGCGCGGCCCAGTAGCGGCCGCGGGGAGGCGTTGACGGGGCGCCCGGAGATGTCATAGCGGCCCCCCTTTTTTTTTTTACGGGGGGGGGGGGGCGGGGAGATGCCGCGCGGCCTCGGGGGGGGGAGTATAGCGGCCCCGCGGGATCGGCGACGGCGACGGCGGCGGCGGCGACAACAACGACGGGGGGCTACGCATTGGGCTCCGCATTGGGCCACACATCGCGCTTTCTGGGCTGCGCATCGCAGGCCGGCCCACGCATTGCGCATCGAGCGTGGACGCTGCACGTGTTGGCCTACGTATTGGGGAACGTATGCAGCCATATCTACGCATTGGATCAACGCGTTGAGCCCCGTAGCAGTACGTTCCGGATCGCGCATTGCGCATCGGGGCAGCTAGGAATAAATTCCTGTTCCAACTTCCACGGTCACCGCGACGCAGCAAGCATGGCGCTCGGGCGCCCCATGGCGGAACCGCCAGGGCGCACTGCACGGGCCCGTGCGCGCCGAGATTGTGGGGGTGGCCGGGCGCTGTAGTTGCTCTGGGAAGTATGCGCAATGTTGTTCAGAGCCCCATGATCACCGCGACTTTGAAGGCATTGCACCCGGGCCAACCAGCGGGAAGTTGCTGATGGGTATTGCACGGGACGGTTCGCGCCCGACTTGTGGCGACGCCTCGAGCGAAACGCTTACTCTTGGAAGTAGACGCGTTTCTTATCAGAGCCCCGTGACTACCGAGATGTTATAAGCATTCCATTTGGGCCACCCACATGGGAGACGCCCGGTGGCATTGCACGGGCCCAGGCCCATTTGCGCCGATATCGCGGGGGCGCCCCGAGCGACACTTGGCTTTGGAGGCGCATGCAATTTTCCAGAGCCCCATGCTCATTTCCGCCGCCATCAGCATCGCACCATCACCCCCATCCTCATCATCATCATCATCACCATCATCAGCATCATCATCCTCACCATCAACACCATAATCAGCATTATCATCATCCTCATCGTCATCAGCATCACCAAACACATCACCTTCACCATCATCGTCATTATCATCAGCATCAGCGCCACCATCGCCATCACCATCCATCACCAGCAGCATCATCATCATCATCATCAGCATCATCATCATCATCTCTACCATCTTCATTCCCATGTTCAATACCACGGCTTGGCTAAAGTGCTCGAGGTTCAGAGGGGACCAAGTGGATACTGCTGTTCCGCGCCAGCGCGAGGGCTTTGAGCCCGACGTCCTCTCGCGCCCGCCAGGTCCGCCCCAGGCAGTCGCCTGCGCCCCTTCAATGGGGGGGCTGCTCCTTCAGCGTTTGGTCGGCGCCTTTGCATGGTAGCGCAGGCGGGCCAGCGCTTCGTCGGAAGCACCGCGTGTGCTCGGGTTGTGGCTACGCGTGGATTTCAAGCGGAACTCGCGCCGAATCGCGCGCGGTTCGAGCTCGGCGGCGCCTCCCGCGCCCTGGCGCGAGCCCATGGGGGCGCGGTCGGATCCCAGCCGCAACAGGGGCGTGGTCGAATATGACGCGTCGCAGTGGGCCCGCCGGCATCGGCGCCGTCGCCGCGGGGTGGAAACGCGCCGGGCGCCAGAGCCCTGGGCGCGGAGGCGCCCGTCGACCCAGCCGCGAGGGCGCCCGAGCTGCTCGGCAAGGCCGGCTGGGAGGGCGAGGAGCATATCGCCTTCCGCCATTCGACAGCGGCTGGCGCCGCCCCAGCCCAAGGTCACGGGGCCCCACTCGGCGGCGCGCCAGAGGTGCTCGGTCGCGATGCGGCGCAGCCGCACCGCCTCCGAGAGGGCATCGGCGCACCAGGCCCAGCGCGAGGAGTGGTCTGCTGACGCGAGGTCGTAGGTGCAAGCGGCGGCCGACGTCGTGGGCAGCTGCGAGCACGAGGCGGCGGTCGCCCTCAGGCGGGTCAATGAAGAAAGAGACCTGCGACCGAGCGGCGCAAGCACGGGGGCGTCGCAGCCACTCGCGGCTCTCAACTTCGGCCTGCTCTTGGAGAGCGACGCGGAGGTGGAGTCGCTGTTGGAGTTGGGACCTTTGTTGGACACGTCCGACCTGGAGCTGCAGGGTGAGGAGCGCCACGAAAAGAGCTCGCGTCGGAGGTGCAGAAGAAGGCATGCGAGGCGGTCGGCGGCGCATGGGGCAACCTGCGCAACGTGCGAGATCAGGCCAAACGCGCGCGCAGCCAGGCCAGCAAGAAGCGCAAGCAGAACGAGGAGAAGACGACCAGACAGGAGGCGCGCCCACAGGAGGCGAGGGGAGCGCGGGTTCGGAGACCAGGCCAGGTCAGGCCCCAGAGAGCCAGTCCCCTGCGGCCCCAGGGCTGCTGGCATTCCTGATGGGGTCCCTTTTGGCTCCGCTGGCACAGGGAGGCCCGCGGTGCCGGGGGCCTCTGTCTGGGCCAGGCGACAGGGCCCTCGAGGTCAGTCTGCGAAGGGCCCCAGAGGGTCGAGCCGCGGGCCTAGCCAGCCCAATGAGCAGCGAGCGACCCCTCCCATTCTCTCGTGCGCACCGTGGCGGGCGGGGGGCGTCGGGCTCGGAAGCTGAGATGCCGCGCGATTTCGGCGCCGACGCCTGGAAGGCGACGGGCAGCCCCGCGCGCAGGTGCCACGTGGCGGGGAACTTTGGCGGGGCAGTTGCGGCGGCGCGGAGACATCTGAGGTCGACCTCGCTCGGGCCCCTCGCAATGCGCCAGAGTCAGGCGCGTGGCCAGCTGCGCTGCGGGAGGGGGGGGGGGGCGGCCCACCGTCTTGTTCGATTCCGTCCTTTCGCGGCGGCGATGCCACGGGGGCACCTCTCGGCGGCGACGGTCTACCCCGCGAGTCCGACGCGCGCCAAGAGCGCGCGCGCCACCAGGCTGCAACACCTTGGGGGGGGGGCGCGCTGCAGGCTGCGCGCGGAGGTTGGATAGCGCTCGGCTGTTGGACTGCGCCGCCCGAGAGCTGGATCATCGAGAGCGGATGGGCCGAACGCGTTCGAGGGTCGGCAACGCGGCCGCATCGTGCAAGAAGTTTCACGTTTTTCGGCGGGCGGCGAATCTTTGACTTGAGCGGCGGCGGGCGGCCCGGGGCTGCATCGCCCGTCTCGACGCGTCGCGGAGGCGCCGGGGGGGGGGGGGGCAGCGATCGCGCGCGGGGCCAGCGGCTCTGTTTGAGGCGCTGCTGTCCAAAGCTCAAGCGCGGAAAATACCCGCGCCACGAAGGGCGCGCCAACATCCGTCGGCGCCCACGCAGCAAGACCCGAACAGCAAGCGGAGTCTCGGGGGGACGGAGAAGGAGGGGGCGGTCGCAGAAGAGCGCGACCAGGAGTTGTTCAGCGGCGATGGCGAGCTTGGCGGGGCGCCCGCGGTCAGGACTCTCCCGGCGGTGCTGGCGCCACCCTTGTCGAACGGAGCTGCGAGCTACATCCCCCCCTCCCGATCGCGCGCCCCCGCGCTCGCCGCGACGCGTCGCGGCGGATTATCAGACGGAGGTCGCCCGCGCGCAGGGCGCGGCTGAGGGGCAACTAGACGACTGGAGGGCGGGGGCGCCGAGGTCCCTGGGGGCGCCAGGAGAGCCGCTTGCTTCGGCAACTGCGCCTCCCACGGGGGCGGGCGCGCGGCGCGTCGCAGGGCGCGGCCCCCAGCGCGGCCGCCCCTCGTCCCACCCCCGCTCCACTGCTCGGGCTGCGACTAGAGCCGATGCGCGTGTTTCAGGGTCGCCCTTGAGGCTGCGAAACTGGCCTGGCTCCGAGTGGGCCGAGATGGATCAAGGCGCCCAGGCTGCGGGGCCGCGCCGCGACCGCGCCCAGTTCCCCTCGCCCCAAATCGGCTGGAGGAAAGGACCGAGCTACCATCCTTCCTCAAGGTTTGCAGCCAGTTCGGCGGCCACGAGCGCACCGGGCACAAGCGCGTTGCACGGCGGCCCCCTGGCGCGGCAGCCCCTGCTCCGTCGCCCGCAGACGTCGGGGGCAACCGTCAAATTGCCCGAGGCGGCGGCGCGCTTGCCAGGGGCACTCCAAGACGTGATGCCGACGGCGGCGGTGGAGTTTAAGGTCTGAGGAGGTGCGAGCTGGACTCGGGCACGGGGCGCTGCCTGGAATGGAATCGCCGCCTCAGGCGGAGCAGCCCATGCACCTTTCAGACGAGGGTCGAATGTGCGTGATACACAAGGCGCGAGTTTGCAACGACGAAGGGGGCACGTGGCGACCTCCCAGGTTACGTCGGGGTTTTCATAGATTTCGCCACGGGCAAGGATGAGGCGCTCCAGCTGGGAACTCTGCACGGCCGATGGGTCGCCTTGCTCGAGGGGTGCAGTCGGGTCGCTGGAGAATGAGCATTTTGTTCGTTGGGGAGGGGCTCGGTGTTCTTCATGTGTTGTACAGCTTGTCTCAGGTGCTCATTTGGTCTTCTGTGGGACATCGAGTTTAATTCATAAGCGGAACAAGGCCTCACTCTTATTATACAGGGTGCTTTCTGCTAGCGCCTCGACACTACTAGGTGCGCGCGATGGGCTTGGATCAGGAGCTGCGCGCGGAGCGCAGCGGACGCGCCGCGTCTCGGTCGCCGAGGGCGCGCCCCCCGAGGGCGCGCAGGGGGAGCCAGCGGAGTCACGGGTCGGCGACGCGGCGGGGAACGATGGCGGCGTGCCCCCAGATGCACGCGAGCGCGCCAGCCAAGCCTAGTCTGACGGAGGCGGGGCGCGATGCGCCACAGATCATCATGGACACGGGTCGCAGCACGCCGCCCGACTCCTTGCTTGTCACGAACGCGGAAGTGCAGTGCAGATAGCGCGCCTGGCACGTCAGCGGCATGGCAAAGGCGCGCTGGCGGCTGTGGCGGACAGGGCTTGCGCGACTGAGGCGCGGTAGAATATGGTTGCCCTTCGCGGCTGGGCCATGGAGCGCGCGCCTGAGCGCCCTGGTAATTTGATCCACTGGACCAACTATATGGCGGCGCCCGCAATGGAGATTGACCCTGCAGGCGTCGGCGCGTGCGCTGGCGAGCTGTTCGGCGAGCTGCGACATCGACGCCATGATGGAGATCGAGAGGCAACGGCGGACTGGCCCCTGATCGCGCGTCGTCAACGTCGAGCGAGCGCGTCGCCTGCGTGAGCGGCGCAGGAGACTCTCCAACGATCAGGGCGCCCACCAGCAGATCGGCCCGTCCGACAATGCGAGCCCAGTTCGAGGCACGCGGCAGGCCAGTGGGCGCGGGGGAGACAACCTCGGCCGGCGGATCCGAGAGCGACCCCCGCCGAGCTTTCGGAATTATACATGAGGTGCCAGCAGTTGCAGGCCTTGCCTCGGCAACTTCCCCTGGCCCTGGAAGCCATGATATCCGAGCAGTCGACGAGGGCGGGGGGGGAGAGAGAGAGAGAGAGAGAGAGAGAGAGAGAAAGAGAGAGAGAGAGAGAAAGAGAGAGAGAGAGAGACAAAAAAAGAGAAAGAGAAAGAGAAAGAGAAGGAGAAAGAGAACGAGAAAGAGAGAGAGAGAGGGAAACAAAATAGAGAGACAGAGAGAAACAAAAACACACACACACAAAAAAAGAGAGAGAGAGAGAGATAGAGAACGAGAGAACGAGAGAACGAGAGAGAGAGAGAGAGACAGTGTCATCTCCCTTCCCCGCGCGCGCCTGGAGCCGACTGTCGAAGGACGTCTGGGGCGATTTGACGCGAGCGGGAGGCCGGTTCCTGGGATCGGGCAATTCGGGGGCGTTCAGCATGGCGGCGCGGCACATGGAGATGTTCTGCGACGAGACCGCCCAAGCCCGAGGCGGGGCCCACGGAGGCCCGATGCGTCAGGCGCCCCCCAGGCGCAGTCCCAAAACAGGGTCTGCTCAAAACGAGGTCCCAGCCAACGCAGCCCCGAACGCGCCCGCCACGCTGCAGGAGCGCGTTGGCCGAATGCCCCCCCCCCCCCCCCGAAGCGCCACCCAATGCGCCGCCCAAAATGCCGCCCACAATGCCCCGCCCAAAACTTATGCTATAACAAACGGCGCAGCTCCCGGGCAAGACAGCATCGCGCGTCCCGGAATTGATCACGGACAAAACTTGCCGCGCGCGCTGGGTTGCGTTATGGGTTGCGTTTTGGGCACAAATTCGGGCGGTCTTGTGTTTTTTTTTAATGTTTCGGGCGGCGCTTTGCCTCGTGAGGTCGGCCTATGTGCGGGGGGGGCTGTGAGAGTTGGCCTAGTTATGCGATTCCCTGGGCCCTGCTTTGGCCTTCGAGGCCGCCGCGGCGCCCCGCTTGGCCCCCGGCTCGCGAGAACGAGGTTGCGATTTCCAGGCCGATCGAGCCCGCGGCGTCTTTCCTCACAGGCGACGGGGATGCAAATCATTTCGTCTGGAAAGTCCTGTTTGATATTTTGAAGCGCGCATACGGTTTTTCCTCGAGGAGGTCTCATCGGCGCAGCGGGCTGATGACATTAACCAGAGGGCCATATAATCATGCCATCTCTTGCAGGAGCGGCCGGCGAATTCTGCGCGAGCGCGCCGGCCATCGGACTCGACATGATGGGGAAGTCGGTTGCGGCTGCCAGTTCCTCGGAGCATGCGCGCGAAATCGCTCGCTTTGTTGGCAGGGGGTCTGCAGGTGGCCGCTTTCGCAACAAGCCATCGAGCACAGTCGCCCATGTGGGGCTGGATCGAGGCTCGGGTCGCCGACCCCGCAAGCAGCACGGCCAGCGCGTAGCCAAGAGTTGCAGTCAGATGCGCAAAGCGAAGTGGATTTCCAGGGTCGGACATTTGCGCCGTGCCAGGAAAACGGTTGCGTTGGTGTCCCATGTCCGCAGGTTTTTGGGAGCCTTGGTCCACGGCGCGGCGCCTTCGGTTGTTTCGCGCACCCGGTCGGCCACGGGCGCGGCCCTCGCGCGGGGGGCGGGCCAAAAAACGCAGGCGTCTCACCGCGCATCTTGCTCCCCAGACCCCCATCGGGCATGAACAAATCATGGCGGAAGGTTTTTTGCTATGTTCAGCCTCTGGGGGCCCTTGCCGGCCCTCGGGACCTTCAGAGAACGATCCAGTGTGAAAAACCGGCCCAGGTAGATGGGTCCAGACCTCCAGGGGCCGACGCCTCGCAAAAATCATGACGTCGGGGGTCTGGGTCTGGAGCCTCGTCATCGCATGCCGGCGATCGAGCTGGTCTTGCGCCAGTTCGCGAGTTTGTTCGAGCTCATCAGCCACGCGCAGAGGGGGGTGGGGGGAGGAGGGAGGGCATCTTAGAAGCACCCCTGCTTCTCAGAAGGCGTGGGCCTTATCTGTAGATGCAAGGCCGGCGCCTTCTAAGAAGCAGTTTCCTTCTAAGAAGCCCTCCCCCCTCCCTCCACCCCCGTGTGCGCGCCGCCAACGAGCTCGCCGCCGACCCCTCCTTGGGCTGCGAAGGCTCGGGCGAGACTCCACCGCGGGCTCTCGGCGCGGAGCGCGCGGACGCCCTGCCATGCGGCGGCCTTCTTCGAGCGGGAGTGGTCCTGCGCTGCGGAGGGCGGCGGAGGGCGTCTAGAGGGGGGCGGGCGACGGGTCGGGGTCGACGAACCAACAACACACACCCATACCCATAGGGGGGTCGGAGAGGGCTAATTATGGGTGCGTGTTGTCGGAGGGGGGTCCCCGCTCGAACGGGAGCGCCCCCCGGGGTCCGACAACCCGCGCCCATGCCCATAGCCAGTCCTGCTCCCAACGACCCCCCTATGGGTATGGGTGTGTGCTGTTCGTTCGTCAGTGGGGGCAGGGGTGGGCCTAAGCTATGCTTTGGCGACTTCGCAGGCCGCTTTCGTTCCGATGTCGCTTTGCGGCGCGGGCGGCTCGAAGACAAAAACTCCTCCTCCTCCTCCTCCTCCCTCTCCTCCTCCTCCTCCTCCTCCTCCTCCTCCTCACCTCCCCCTCCTCCTCCTCCTCCTCCCCCTCCTCCTCCTCTTCCTCCTCCTCCCCCCCTCCTCCTCCTCCTCCTCCTCCTCCTCCTCCTCCTCCTCCTCCTCCTCCTCCTCCTCCTCCTCCCCCTCCTCCTCCTCCCCTCCTCCTCCTCCTCCTCCTCCTCCTCCCCCTCCTCCTCCTCCTCCTCCTCCTCCTCCCTGTCGGGGGGAAAGGCATCATCAGGATCCACGTCTCCGCCGCTGCTCCTTGGAGCCGTTGCGCGCTTGCCGGGTCTTGGCGAACTGCCAGGGCCGAGGAAGACGATCCATCAGGCGGAGTTGTGGGTTCCGTTCGGCGGGTGGAAGTCTGCGCCAGCCCTGGTAGATCCCCAAATTGCATTACGGACTCGAGCTGCGTTGTGAGAGGGGTCCAGTGACCCCGTTCCAAGCGCCCTCGGACCAGTCGATGCCTTCAGCGGCGCCTTCGGGAGGCCCTCTGAGAGGCGCAGCTGGCCGCCATATGGTGGAGCACCACGCGCCCGAGGAGAGAGCCAAGTTTTTAGGCATCCCCGACATCTGGAGAAAGGCCAATGGCATGGTCGATCACAAGGCCCAGACTGCTGCAAGTAAATTCCAAGTTTCTGACGCGGAGGTTGACCAGATACGCGAGGTGGAGCTCCCCGCAAGCAGGGGTCGGAAAGGAAGAGGCAGGTGGCGGCGCTCGATGAGTTTGCGCGTTGTGACCATCGAGGCCCTCGCAGAGTTAAGCATGCCCCGCCCCAGCCTAAGTTCGCCCGAGCCATAGCTTTTGCCCTCGTGATTGCCAGGGATGTCCACGAGGTGGCGCGGCCGAGGGGTCGCGAGGCAAGGGAGGGCCCCCGCGTCTCGCGCCGCCGCTGTCTTGACGGCCGCGGGGTACCCCGCCAGGAGCTATCGAGCTATCTCGGGATGCACCTCGATGCATCTGAAGGTACGTAGGCTTACGCAGAACGCAGAGCTACCTCAACCTATCGAGCTTGATCCCAGCAAGTCGAGTGGAGAAGCATTGTCACACTCTTCGGGGAAACGCCCCTGTTTGGGAAAACCTCCCTCTCGTCCTCCCCAAGAGTGTCTGTGAAGACCGAGGTCTCCGCGAATTCGTGCCCACTCCCGCCTGGCACGGGGGTCGCGGACAGTGGGGTCCACCGGAGCCCGCTACCCGTGCTGGTTGACAGATGCCTGTGTTTCTTTGCTCGCCTTGCGGGTTGCGTTCGGCCCGCGAGAACGGAGTCCCCCGCGGCCTGGCGGAAGAGCGCGGCCCGCTATCGACGGCGGACATCGGCGACCTTGAGCTGCTTGAGAAGGGAACGTGGCAAGGGCACTCCACGGCGGCGAAGGACTTTAGCAAGAGGCCCCCCCCAGCCGTGAAGCGGCCGCACGATGGCGGGGGCGCACCCACGGGGAAAACATCATCATCATCAGCATCAGCATCATCATCATCATCATCATCATCATCATCATCATCATCATCATCATCATCATCAGCAGCAGCAGCAGCAGCAGCATCAACATCATCAGCACCATCATCATGATCATCATCAGCACCACCATGATCATAATCAGAATCAGATCAGCAGCAGCATCATCAGCATCATCATGCCCCTGGCACCCTGTCAGTCAGCCTCAGGGAAGACCACGTCGGGCGTCGCGGGGGACCCGGACGCTATTCTGCACGGGGGCCTCTTGAGAGCGGGCGCAGGGGCTCCGAGGCAGGACTCCGCGGAGCCCTCGCCCACGGCGGAGGACTGGGGCCTGGAAGGGCGCGGCGGGGCCGAGCTCGCGTGGTGGGACAAGCACGACGGGTGGACTCAGTGGCCGCGCTCGGCCTCCTCCTCCTTCCTCGTCCTCCTCGTCCTCCTCCTCCTCCTCCTCCTCCTCCCTCCTCCTCCTCCTCGTCCTCCTCCTCCTCCTCCTCCTCCTCCTCCTCCTCCTCCTCCTCCTGCTCCTCCTCCTCCTCCTCCTCCTCCTTTTCCTCCTCCTCTGGGCCCGTGGGGGCCCGCGCCTCGCCCCGGGAGGGCAGAGAACGTTGCGCGATGGAGCCGGCCCGTATTGAAACTCGGCCTGGCGAAGGGCCGAACCTGTGAGCACCGTCGTGGTGCGCACCGCATGCAAAAAGGCTCCCCGTGGGGTCGCGCAGAGTGCGAGAGGTGTGCGAAGGTAGACTGCAGCGGGCGCATGCCTCGGAGGCGCTGCCCGTGGGGGCGCGGATCGGTGAGGGCGTGCCACAATGGGTGCGGCGGGCGGGTGCGAGCGCAGGCCCTGGGGCCGTCGGTGGGGCCCCCTTACGGGGCCACGAAACGTGTGAGGGGTTTGCCAAAATCGGTGTGGCTGGCGCATGCGAGCGCAGCCACTGGGGCCGTCCGTGGAACTCCCCGTGGGCCCACGAAACGCGCGAGGGGCATGCCACAACGGGTGCGGTAGAGCTCCCTCTGGGGCCCGAAGCGTGTGAGGGGTGTGTTCAAATGGGTGCGGTGGGGCGCACGCGAACGCAAGCGTTGGGGCCGTCGGTGGAGCCTCCTTTATGGGGCAATGAAGCGTGTGAGGGGTGTACCAAAATGGGCGCGGTGGGGGGCACATGCCAACGTAGCCACTGGGGCCGTCGGTGAAGCTCCCCATGGGGGCGCGAAACGTGCGAAGGTGTGCCAACATGGATGCGTTGGGCGCATGCGACCGCAGGCTTCGGAGCCGTCGGTGCAGCTCCCTGTGGGGCGACGAGCAGTGCGCAGAGTTTCCCAAATAAAATGGGTGCGGTGGGCGCATGCGAACGCAAGCGTTGGGGCCGTCGGTGGAGTATGCGGCCTCAAAACGTGTGAGGGGTGTGCCCAAACAGGTGCGGTGGGCGCATGCGAACGCAGGCACTTGGACCGTCGGTTGAGCTCTTCATGGAGCCGCGATGCGTGTGAGGGTGTGCCAAAATGGGCGCGGTGGGCGCACGCGAACGCAACCAGTGGGGCCGTCGGTGGATCTCCCTATTGGCCCACAAAACGTATGAGTGGTCTGCCAAAATGGGTGCGGTGGGCGCATGCGAACGCAGCCATTGGGCCGTCGGTGGGGCTCCCCATGGGGCCACGAAGCGTGTGAGGGGTGTGCCAAAATGGGTGCGGTCGGCACATGCGAACGCAGCCATTGGGACCTTGTGGGGCCACGACGCTGGTGAGGGGTACCAAAATCGGCGCGGTGGGCGCATGCGAACGCTGCCACTGGGGCCGTCGGTGGAAATCCCCATGGGGCCACGAAACCTGTGAGGGTGTGCCGAAACAGAAACACGTGGATGGCAGAGGTAGGGAAGGAAGGAAGGAAGAGGGGGAGGAGAGGGAGGAACGAGGCGGGAATGCGGGGCGCTGTCCTTTCAGAACGAAGACCCAGCACCACAGGGTGGTGGGGAGAGCCAGCACGCCGCATGTCTGGGCCCCTCTGACGTCCCCCCCGGGTCCAGAGAGGGGATGCAGCTGGGATAGCCCCCCACCCCTCCATCCCGCACATTCGCTTCCCTTGTCCACACGAAAAACCAGAAGGGGGCCAGGGGGGGAGGGGGACAGGGCCCGACCGTCCCCCCCCCCCCCCGCATCCCTGTCCCATTCTGCCGTGCATGGCGTGTCCTTTCGCCCACAGGGGGGGGGGGGGCAGGGGCAGGAGGGGCTTTGCCCGCCAGCAGCCCACTCTTGACTCGCGTGTGTCCCCTCGTCCACGGAGGGAGTGCCGAAAGTCTGGGACGCGTCTGCCCCCGCCCCTGGACGCGGGGCCGGGAGGGAGGCAACATTTTACACGCCTGGAACCCAAGCGGTTCTGCGAATTCTCTTGGCCTTCGCGTGGTGCTACCTCCACCGCCTCAAGCTGCCTCACAGCTCGGGCTGGTCGCTCGTCTACGCGGCAGTGGTCACTGCTTTCTGCTACGGGCTCTACAAGGTAACGAAGTACCATTTGCCCATGGAGGCCCTGCACATCGAGGTCCTTCTCCCGGCATTCGTGGTCGGCTGCATGATCGACACGCCTTGCGCCAGGCACGAGCTCCAGCTCCAGAGGCAGGCAACCATGAGCCGCCTGGAAACCAAGCGGCAAAAGAGTGCTCTATCCGACAAGATGCGCCTTGCGGGTATTTGCGCTAGTGAAAACAATGTGAATGCGGCAGTCCCTCAGCGCATCGCAGCCGGAGTCGAACTCCCTCAGCGCATCGTATCCGGAGGCTGGGTGGTAGACGAGGCTGCGGCGGCGGGTAATTGCAGGCCGGAAGTCCCAGGAGAGAAAGCGGACAATGATTCCCAAGGTTCCAAAGAATCTACATGTACTCGGCGTTCGAAGCAGTCAACAGGTTCCAGGCTTTCGAGGCATGGCGTTGACGTGGACAAGATGCATCCACACGATAGTGCTTGGGAGCACAACGTCCAGACAAGCATCTCGATGGTTTTCATGGTTCTCGTTGGGCTGTCGATGCCGCCGCTCTTGGGGAAAAATGCTAAGGGCGATTCAAGCATGAGCGCAGGTTTGATTGCAGCACATGTGTTCGTGGTCTCCCTGCTCATGGTTATCGGAAAGATGTTCCCAATAGTGTGCTACCGCGACGAAGCCTCGTGGCAGGAGCGACTCGCGCTCTGCATGGGCATGTGCCCGCGAGGGGAGGTGGGAGCAAGCATCATTGTGATATCGCTCGAGCTCGGCGTGGAAGGCCCAGCGGTCATCATATCGATGTGCGCACTCGTGATCAACTTGGTTCTCTCGGGAGGCTTCATCGGCTCAGTCAAACTTCTGCTCAAGCATGCTACCACACAGGCAGGCCAGAAGAGCGAAGATTCGGCAGCCTCGACGATGGTGACCTTGTTCGAGCCCTGTGAGGACGATGGGTGCCCGAAAGATGTGCGCTGTTTCCTCCGACGCGCCAGTATTAAGTCGGGCACGTCCTTTGACAGGAGGAATATTCAAAAGTTACGCTACCCAGGAACCCCACATACTAATAGTATGGCTGGAGCGATGATAGCTGAAGTGAAGCATGTGAGAATGATGTTGGTGGCCGTTGCCACGCCGATACCGTCGGTGGCGCCAGTCAATAGGAGAGGAGGGAGGAGAGTGGAGAGGAGATAAGATCAGCTTTTGTTTTATACACATGGGAAGCGGTCTGCGGCGCCCACGAGGCCACGAACATTATGGAATGCGATCTTCGGCGGAAAGCTTCTGATCAGATCTGAGAGAACGAAAATTTCAAAGAAACGCAACCTTCGGCGAAAAGCCTCTGGCAGCGTCCAAAAGATAATAACAAGCGGAACGCTGTCTTCGGCAGAAAGCCTCACCCCCGCTGTGCCTTGGACGACCGTCACGGATAGCGGCCGCACTGAGGGACCACCCCGTGCGCACCCCTTGTGGTGTCGAGAAAACGCCACGCCTGCCGTGCCTTGGACGACCGTCACGGATGGCGGCCGCGCTCAGGGAGCACCCCGTGCGCCCCCCCTGTGGTGTCGAGGAAACGCCACGCCTGCCGTGCCCTGGGCGACCGTCACGGATAGCGGCCGCGCTCAGGGACCACCCCGTGCCCACCCCTTTGTGGTGTCGAGAAAACGCCACTCTTGTTGTGCCCTGGACGACCGTCACGGATAGCGGCCGCGCTCAGAGACCACCCCGTGCGCACCCCCGTGTGGTGTCGAGAAATCGCCACGCCTGCCGTGCCCCGGACGACTGTCACGGATAGCGGCCGCGCTCAGGGACCACCCCTGTGCCCACTCTGTTGTGGTGTCGAGAAAACGCAACTCTTGTTGTGCCCTGGAAGACTGTCACGGATAGCGGCCGCGCTCAGGGACCACCCTATGGTGTCGTGAAAACGCCATGCCTGCTGTGCCCCGGACGACCGTCACGTATAGCGGCCGCCCTCAGGGAGCACCCCGCGCGCACCCCCTACGATGCCGAGGATCTGCCACGCCGGCTATGCCCTGGACGACCGTCACGCATAGTGGCCGCCCTCAGGGACCACCCCCTGCGCACCTCCTGTTGGCGCGCATGTGTTGCGTGGTTGCGTGTCATGTGTTTGCGTGCTTGTGTGTTGTGTGTGCTGTGCTGAGCTGTGATGAGCGGTGCTGTGCTGAGCTGTGCTGTGCTGTGTTGGTTTGTGTTGTGCTGTGCTGCGCCAAGCTTGGCTGTGCTGTGCTGTGCTGAGGTGCTGTGCAATGCTGAGCTGTGCTGAGCTGAGCTGAGCTGAACTGTGCTGAGCAGTGCTGTGCTGTGTCGTGCTGTGTACGTGTTGTGTGCCAGTGTGGTGTGTGCTGAGCTGTGCTGTGCTGCGCTGCGCTGCACTGCGCTGTGCTGTGTGAGAAGGGGAAGGAGGAGGAAGGGTGATGAAGAGACGCGGGTGCAACGCGGGAAGGAAGAAATCCAGAACCCCATTGAGCATGTGGGGAACAATCAAATTCGCCCTTAGCGAAGGACCAAGCCATATGCAGTTGTGAGCACCGTCGTTGTATGCACCGCATGTGGAAGAGCTCCCTATAGGGCCACGACACGTGTGAAGGTTGTGCCAAACTTTGTCCGGTGGGCGCATGCGTAAGCAGCCACTGGAGCCGTCGGCGGAGCTCCATATTGGGCCACGAAACGCGTGAAAGGTGTGCCGAAATAGGTGCGGTGGGCGCATGCGAACGCAGCCACTGGGGAAGTCGGTGGAGCTCCCTGTGGGGCCACGAAACGCGTGAGGGGTGTGCCGAAATGGGTGTGGGTGACGCATGCGGGCGGTGGCACCTGGACATTTGTTGCAGCTCCCTATTGGAGCACGGAGCGCGTGAGTGGTGTGCCGAAATAGGTGTGGGTGACGCATGCGAGCGATGGCACCGGGACATTCGTTGAAGCTCTGTGTGGGACCACGAAACGTGTGAGGGGTGTGACGAATTGGGTGTAAGTGCTCCCCATGGGGCCACGAAACGCGTGATGGGTGTGCCGAAATGGGCGTGGGTGACGCATGCGGGCGGTGGCATTGCGGCCTTCGGTGGAGATCCCTAGCCACGGAACGTGTGAGGTGTGTGACGACATTGGTGTGAGTGACACATTCGAGCGGTGGCCTTGAGGCCTTCGGTGGAGCTTCCCGTGGGGCCACGAAACGCGTGAAGGGTGTGCCGAAATCGGCGTGGGTGACGCATGCGGGCGGTGGCACTGGGGCCTTCGGTGGAGCTCCCTATGGGACCACGAAACGCGTGAGGGGTGCGACGAAATGGGTGTGGGTGACGCATGCGGGCGGTGGCACTGGGGCCTTCGGTGGAGCTCCCTATGGGGCCACGAAACGTATGAGGGGTGTGACGATATGGGTGTGGGTGACGCATGCGGGCGGTGGCACTGGGGCCTTCGGTGGAGCTCCCTATGGGGCCACGAAACGTATGAGGGGTGTGCCGAAATGGGTGTGGGTGACGCATTCGGGCGGTGGCACTGAGGCCTCCGATGGAGCTCCCTATAGGGCCACGAAACGCGTGAGGGGTGTGACGACATGGGTGTGGGTGACATATGCGGGCGGTAGCATGGGCGCCTTCGGTCGAGCGCCCTATGGGGCCACGAAACGCGTGAGAGGTGTGCCGAAGTGGGTGTGGGTGACGCATGCGGGCGGTGGCACCTGGACATTCGCTGCAGCTCGCTATTGGAGCACGGAACGCGTGAAGGGTGTGCCGAAATGGGTGTGGGTGACGCATGCGGCCGGTGGCACTGGGGCCTTCGGTGGAGCTCCCCATGGGGCCACGAAACGTGCGAGGGGTGTGACGACATGGGTGTGGGTGACGCATGCCGGCGGTGGCACTGGGGCCTTCGCCGAAATGGGCGTGGGTGACGCATGCGGGCGGCGGGATTGGGGGGGCCACGAGACGCGTGAGGGATGTGCCTAAGTGAGTGCGGGTGACGCATGCGGGCGGTGGCACTGGGGCCTTCGGTGGAGCTCCCTATGGGGCCACGAAACGCGTGAGGGGTGTGACGACATGGGTGTGGGTGACATATGCGGGCGGTGGCACAGGGGCCTTCGGTGGAGCTCGCTATGGGGCCACGAAACGTATGAGGGGTGTGCCGAAATGGGTGTGGGTGACGCATGCGAGCGGTGGCACCTGGACATTCGTTGCAGCTCGCTATTGGAGCACGAAGCGCGTGAGTGGTGTGCCGACATGGGTGTGGTGGCGCCATGCGGCCGGTGGCACTGGGGCCTTCGGTGGAGCTCCCTATGGGGCCACGAAGCGTGCGAGGGGTGTGACGACATGGGTGTGGGTGACGCATGCCGGCGGTGGCATTGGGGCCTTCGCCGAAATGGGCGTGGGTGACGCATGCGGGCGGCGGCACTGGGGCCTTCAGTGGAGCTCCCTATGGGGCCACGAAACGTGTGATGGGTGTACCGAAATAAGTGTGGGTGACGCATTCGGGCGGTGGCACAGGGGCCTTCGGTGGAGCTCCCTATGGGGCCACGAAACGTATGAGGGGTGTGCCGAAATGGGCGTGTGTGACGCATGCGGGCGGTGGCCTTGGGGCCTCCGGTGGAGCTCCCTATAGGGCCACGAAACGTGAAATGGGTGTACCGAAATGGGTGTGGGTGACGCATGCGGGCGGTGGCACTGGGGCCTTCGGTGGAGCTCCCTATGGGGCCACGAAGCGGTGTACTGGGTGGGTGAAACGCAGGGAGGATGGAGGAGGGGGAGGAGGGAGGAGCGGGAGGAGGAGGAGTGAGTTACGCGGGGCGCTGTCTTTTCAAAACGAGGACCCAACACCACAGGATGGTTGGGAAAAATAGTCAGTGGACAAATGTTTGACTATTGCATATGTTTCGATGCTTACAGTTTTTATGTTTCGTCCAAAATCCGCCTGTAGGAGGCCATGCCCGACCGAACTCCAGCGAGTCCAACAAACGGTTAGAGTTTCGGGGCTGCGAGGAACATGTCAATATTGATCAGCACGTAGCTGGTTCACAAGGTACAGAATGAAGAAAGAAAGGCTGCCTCAGCGGGGGGGGGCGGCCCGCTCCTCTCCAGGTTTCTGCCTCTGTCTACTTGTTGAAGTAGCGCAACGTGCATACGCAGCGACAGCATACGCAGGACAGCCCCACACACACAAGACCCAAGCATGGATCAGCAATACCCCTGAACGCCTCGCCAAGAACGGCAGGCAACACCGAACGTTCCCCACTCGCGGAGCTCGGGCCTCCGGTGGTCCTCGCGTCGCGTCGTGAAAACATCGCGACGGCGTGTGTGGAACAGTTTCTGGCCCTTGGGGGAGCCCAACCGGGCCCTTGGGCCGTCCTCGGAGCATTCTGGATGAAGAAGGCCGGTCCTATAGGAAGAGGTCCAGACCTCCTGGGGTAAAGGCTACCAGTTTTCTTTCGCAAAAGAAGAGATGAGCGACGCAACAAACAGTCAGGAGCGAAAGAAGGACGTACACGTACATGAATCCACGCTGATTTCGAGAGTACGCCTTGCGCGAATGTTCGTATCATGCGGCCGGTCTCGCGGATCGAGGGGCCGTGTTCATGTACATAGTTGGGCGCGTACGTCTTCTGTGGGCTCCCTAAAGAGGGGGTCGTCTGCGCAGATATCGGCGCGGAAGCTGCCCGGGTAAGGTCTCGCGTAGGCGCCCCACCTCCCATGCGGCGCGACGCGCCGGCGGCCCGCATAAGCCGCCGCGTATAAGGTCGCTCTGCCCCCCCGGGCCAAGCCCGCTTTTGATCGCCGCTCGGAGGACACCAGGGGCAACCATAGGGGGGGATAGGCATAGGGGGGGATGCATCGACCCCCAATCGCCCACTGATCGCCGATGGGGGCCCGATAGCCCAACCTGCCCAGGAGGGTGCGGATTCACTATCGGAGGCCTATCGCCGATCTATCGAGGATGTGTCGCCGACTCCAGATCGATGCATCCCCCGCTATGCCTTTTCCCCCCTACAGGCCTCCGAAAAAAGTAGCGAACACTCATGCCACATTCATCTGTCAACGCCTCCCCCTCCCCCCAATGTTCAAAGTTGGCGGTGGGTCTGATGAGTTGCACCTCGACCGCAGTCTCCCCCGCACGAGGAGGAGGAGGAGGACGAGGAGGAGGAGGAGGAGGAGGAGGAGGAGGAGATGGAAGAGGAGGAGGAGGAGGAGATGGAGGAGGAGGAGGAGGAGAGGAGGAGGAGGAGGAGGAGGAGGAGGAGGAGGAGGAGGAGGAGGAGGAGGAGGAGGAGGAGGAGGAGGAGGAGGAGGAGGGGGGGTGTTTACGAATTGTTTCCCTCTACCGTATCGTTGCCCCTCGAGGGCGCGAAGCTCTTCGCGCCTCGCGCTTCGGCTCCGGTTCCTCCTCGTCCTCCTCTTCTCCCCTGGGGGGCGGCGCGAGAGCGCGAAGTTACTCGCGCTCCGCGCAGCGCGAGGCCGCAAGGCCGCGAGGCAAGAGGAGGAGGAGGAGGAGGAGGAGGAGGAGGAGGAGGAAGAAGAAGAAGAAAAAGAAGGAGTAGGAGGAGGAGGAGGAGAGGAGGAAGGAGGAGAGGAAGGAGCGCCTTGAAACCAGAAGATGCCAGGGCTGGGCCTTTTCCAGCCCTGACCAGCGGCCCTTGGTCGTTCGGGCCCCGGCGCCCTCCCCAGCATTTTCGAACCCGCCGGGAGAGGAGGAGGAGCAGGGGGAGGAGGAGGAGGAGGAGGAGGAGGAGGAGGAGGAGAGGAGGAGAGGAGGAGGAGGAGGAGGAGAGGCGGAGGAGGAGGAGGAGGAGGAGGAGGAGCGCGAGGAGGAGGAGGAGGAGGAGGAGGACGGCCCCTGGCGATCTGCCCGGACCCTTCGCCACGCTCGGGGAGACGTGAGGCTCGAGTACGCCAGACTTGGGTCTGTCGACGCTTTTTGGCGAGTGCGGGAAAGTCCTCCTCCTCCTCACCTACTCCTCTTTCCTTCACCCCTCAATCCTCACCCTCCACACTCCTACCTCCTCTCCCCTCCCTCCTCCTCCTCCTCCACCTCCTCCTTCCTCCTCCTCCCCTCCTCCTCCTCCTCCTCCTCCTCCTTTTGGGTCTGTCGACGCTTTTTTTTTGACGGTCCGATCTTCGTGGGATGTTTTTGCGGCGGGAGTTCGCGTCAAAGTTCAGATTGGGTCGCGTCAGTTTCGTGATGACCCCGTCCGGCCAACCCAAGTCCCCCGAACCCGAGTCTCTACGTCTCCCCGATATTTCCACTCTCCTCAGGGGGGCTTCCAGATTCCATTTCTGACTACCCTATGAGACTCTCTCTTTCTCTCTCTCCGTTCTAGGCCTCCCAAATTTGGTCAGAGTGGATGGGGGCTTCCAGCTTCCATGTTTGTCCACCCTCTCTCTCTCTCTCTCTCTTTCTCTCTGTTCTAGGCCTCCCAAATGGGGTCAGAGTAGATGGGGCGGGAGGATCGCGCCGCATCGCCGATGCATCGGCGATGCAGCTCGATGTGGAGCCCGATTTTCTCCAGGCCGATGGCGCCGATGCATCGCCGACGTCGCCGACGCTTCACCGATTCGGCGATGCAGTGACGATGCGGCGCGATCCTCCGACCCCATCTGCTCTGACCTCATTCGGGATGCCTCTATCTTCTAGTTTTAAATCGGGCCTGTCCCTCTACAGGGGGAATATTCAAAAATTGTCAAAAAATAGTATGGGGATATTTTTGGGGGTATTTTTTGACCATTTGGGAGTATGTATTGACTATTTTTTATTTTTCGTCGAAAATCCCCCTGTAGGGGGACACGCCCGACTTAACTCTATCTTCTAGTTCTCTACAGGAGTCTCCAATGAGCAAGCTGTCCGACGTGAAGCTCCAGGACGTCTGATCCGGCGCCGCGTCGCGCAAGTGAGGCACTGCAGCCGCGGCGGCCGCGCGGCGGGGCCGCGCTCGCCGCCATGAGACGAACGGGCCCTGGAGGTGTCTCCGCTGCCTTCGGGCTCCAGGGGGCGCCCTCTAAAAAAGGAGGAGGAGGAGGAGGAGGAGGAAGAGGAGGAGGAGGAGGAGGAGGGGGAGCAGGAGGAGGAGGAGGAGGGAGGAGGGAGGAGGAGGAGGAGGAGGAGGAGGAGGAGGAGGAGGAGGAGGAGGAAGGAGGAGGCCCCGCGCCGACCTCCGAACGTGCCGGTTCCTGCAGCTCTCCCGTCTGCCGCCCTGGTCGAGCCTGGGGTCCTGCTGCACCTTCGCTGGGCGTGCCCTGCGCGTATCCGCGATGCCTGGCCGCTCGCTGCGTGTGGCCGCGCACTGCGTCTGGCTCGCCTGGCGCAGCGCGCGCAGGATGGCCTCGTGGGCCAGTCTGCGCCTCGGCGGCCGGCGCACTCGGGTGCACGCGCAGGCCCCGGGCCATGGATTTTTGCTGGCGGCACGGGCCGCTGGCGTGGGGCCGTCCTGGCCACCTCGTTTTGGACTTCGGCGGCAGCCCTGCTCGGGGGCCACATGTCGGAACCTGGAGCATATACGTTACCAGCGGCGGGCGGCTTTCAATCCCAGGACTTTTTGTTGAGGGTCTGGGACGGCGTCGGGGTGGTGTGGTGTATACTTTTCCCCCGTCTTCCAAGGGGAACCACGAAAAATGTATACACCGGGATCCCGTGTACACCAGGATCCGCGCTCTTGTGCGAATTTCAGCGCAGGGTCGGAAAAAGTGTCGGTTTATAGAGTTCGTTTCCCTGACATGCGAACCTTTCCCCTACCTCCTATGATTTCTGAGGGGGAGGGTGGAGTTCACTTCACCTGGGAGCTCCCGAACGAAGTGAACCCCACCCTCCCCCTAAGAAATCGTGGGGGTTAGGGGTAGGGTTCGCATGTGGCTCCCTACCTGCCCCCCCCCCCCGCGTCATGCTGCTGGGCAGGTCCGAAAGAGGCTTGGCCCTTCAAGCATCGACCCAACCACTCTTCAGGATGTATCTTGACGGCCACCCTGTTTTTTTTCTCGGCGTACAGGGATTAATGGCAGAATATAAGCCTTGTCTGAATAATCCTCGGCTCATGACGTTTAGTCATCTGTCCAGCTCCAGCTGCTGCAGTCCGTTCTCTCTCCCTTTCTCTCTCTCTCTCTCTCTCTTTCTCTTCCCGTCTCTCTCTCTCTCTCTCTCTCTCTTTCTTCACCTCTATCTCTCTTTCCCTACTCGTGGTCTCAACACTCCAGCTCACTGTTCCTTCGGTTGCGCATGTCGTGGGTATGTTTAGTTGCTTGACGCCCGCTTCACCGCGTTGCCTTCGTGAGCTGGTTTGCAGCGGCTCATTTGGACACTGGCATCAGCACGCTGGGCCAGGCGGGAACCGTTGCAGAGTCCTTGAATTCGGGCTCCAGAGGTGTTCCTGGCCAAAGGGGCCCCTCGCTTCCCGCGCCATCTTGCAATCCCTGGGGACCCCTGGGCCTCGCTAACCTTTCTAGGCCTTTAGACCCGCCTGCCCCCCCAAAAATAGTGGAAACGAATCACCGTGTCGACGCTCTTATTGACGGACTTGGGTCCCACAAGTAATGGAAACTACTTATTTCTCCGCGGCACCCGCCGCGCAACAGCAACGACGACGACGACGACGATGACAACGACTGCGATTACGACTACGACCACAATACGGCTACGGCTACGACTACGGCTACGAGTAGTTAAGTAGCGACCAAAATTACCAGTATGACCAAGACCACGACTACGACTACGAAAACTCGCGAATCAAAACTGTGCGCATTCCCATTGCAATCCTCATGAGAAGATGCCGACACATCTTATCGCGCGTAGGGTAGCCCACAATCGATTATTTCCTAGGAGAAAGAACACTTCGAGATTATCCAGCCCGCCCAACAATAGAGGGAACATAATCTCCGCAGCGACGACGACGATGACGAGGAAGAGGGGCGAGCTCATTCCCCGCCGAGAGAAACATGGGGGATGCACAACTAAAGACCTCTTCGAGCAACACACGATCCTCCTCCTCCTCCTCCTCATCCTCCTCCTCCTCCTCCTCCTCCTCCCCCTCCTCCTCAAAGAGTGTGATTTTAAAGCAGCATCTCCCAGACTGGCACGACAGCGTGTATCTGGGGGCACGGCAACGTGCTGCCCGCCTTGGCAGCACCGAATCCCCAGTCGAGTTTATCGTGCCCGCTGCTACTGCCTCCACCAGTTGTTGCCTGAGGCCGTTCCGAAAAAGAAGACGTGCCCAGAGAGAGAGAGAGAGAGAGAGAGAGAGAGAGAGACAGGGAGGACGACACCAGAGAGAGAAAGAGAGAGAGAGATAGACACAGAGAGAGAGAGAAAGAGAGAGAGAGAGAGCGTGAGGGAAACGTTGCCTTCGGTCGGCGACGGCGGCCTCCTTCTCCTCCTCCTCCTCCTCCTCCTCCTCCTCCTTCTCATGCTGCTCGCCTCGAGTGGGCCCTGCGGGGCGCGGGCGCCCCGCCCGAGAGCCCTCCGCGGGAGGCGCCCCGGGGGATGTTGCCGCGACCCGCGGCGACCTCCCCGAGCGCCGTCGGCGAGGCGGGCGGCCCAGGAGCGCCGCGCCTCGACGCGGAGCTGCTCCCGGGCGAGGCGGGGGAGGGCCAGGCCCCAGGGGAGCAGGGGGAGGAGGAGGAGGAGGAGGAGGAGGAGGAGGAGGAGGAGGAGGAGGAGGAGGAGGAGGAGGAGGAGGAGGGGAGGAGGAGGAGGAGGAGGCGGAGGCGGAGGAGGAGGCGGAGGAGGCGGAGGCGGAGGAGCCGGAGGAGCCGGAGGAGGAGGAGGAGGAGGAGGCGGAGGAGGCGGAGGAGGAGGAGGAGGAGGAGGCGGGCGAGGGCCAGACCCTAGGGAAACGAACAATGACATACGGTTGGGGCGTTGGATGAGGAAGCGTTGGATAAGGAATCCAGGGTCTGGAAGCCAGTGGAACTCCAATCGTGGATCGGCCATGGATACCACCGCCGCCCTGACTGGATAAGGAATCCTCCAGGGTCTGGCGCCTCCTGGGACTATTCCTTAAAAGCCTCCACCGTAAGCATAACAACTCGGAGGTCAGCGCGGACTTCTCGGCTCGGCGCCGGGGCCCCCTGGCGGCGCCTCCGGCGCCGCCCCTGGCGCCGAGCCGAGAAGTCCGAGTTTTTATGTTTATGCCATGTTTCGTTCCCCCTCAGGCCGGGAGCGCCACCAGCGGCCTCGCGGGCATGAAGCGCAAGGTGATACTGGCCGTCGACGCGGGCGACGAGCCCGCTGTGCTCACCGGCCAGCCCCTGGCGTGGGAGGCTCAGGAGAGGAAAAGGCACCGACACTGCGACGCGTCCCTCGTCGCCAAGACTGGATCCTGCTCGAGATCCTGGCCTGTCCCCCCCGCGGAGGTGCCGGCGAGCCCGGCGAAGATCAAGTGGATCGCGCTCACGATCCTCTTCTTCCAGAACTCCGGCACCAGCCTGATCATGCCGCTGGCCCAGACGGGCGGCCACTGGAACTCGCAGTCGGGCGTCATCGTCCAGGACCGGGGAAGAGATACGGACGTAGACACACGGTTGCATTTTCGGGGGTCCGCGCTGGTTTCTCGTCTCGGGTCGGCGCTGGAGGTGCCTCCCCTGGCGCCCGGTCGTTGAAAGTAGCTTGTTCTGGATTCCCAGATCCCAATCTACTCCAAGCGCCTCCTCCGAGGAAGGAATTTATACATGACCACCGCCTGGAGGGTCAGTTCTCGGAGCCTCGGCAGGCGGTGGATATGGATAAATCCCCGCCTCGCACCTCCCGACTTCAGTAATCGATATGTTTTCTTTTTCTGGTGTTCAGTTATTTTCTGGGAGGGCCTGAACCCAAATCTGCTTTATCCGCCTTCCTACTTCACGTTTTTACCTACTATTTCCGACCGACCTGTCCTCCCAGACCCCCGACGTCATGATTGTTTCACAACGTCGACCCCCAGAGGTCTGGACCCCTCCCCTGGGACCGGCTTTTCATCCTGAGTCGCTTTTTGACGGCCCCACGGCCCGGCAAGAGCCCCTAGAGGCCGAAAAGAAGGAACAATGTCGCGCCGTGATTTTTGCACTGCTCGAGGGGGTCTGGGCTCTTGGTATCGCTCGGACCTGTGCACTTTTTCTCGGCGGGGATTCTTAAGGAGCATCCTGGATAATCCTGCGAACAAGCTACGCACGAAACCGAAAAAAAACACAGGGAATGGACGTCCGAGCGATGGCCAGGGCCTGCTGCCCGGCAGGAGCTCATCAAGGGCACCATCTGCGCCCTCGTGCTGCTCCGGGGGGGGGGCCCGCAGGCACTGCGCGCGGCGCTGCGCCCGAGCCCCGAGGCGCTCAAGGTCGCGGTGCCGGCGCTGCTGTTCCTGGCGCAGAACAACCTGCAGTTCCTGGCGGCGAAGCACTTGGACGCCGTCCGCGCCCAGGCCACCCAGAGGTCCAGCGGCCTCGAGGGGCCCTCGCCGGGCCCCAGGGCCGTCAAAGAATGACTCGGGATGAAAAACTGGTCCTGGGGAATGGGTCGAGACTTCCAGGGACCCCGTTTCACCGCCAGGATGAGAACAAACTCGGGTGAGGATCAATCGAGGATCTCCGAGGTCCGGCGGCTCTGGAGGATGTACTGGGCGCCGCGGCCTTCTCAGAGCGTTCCGGAACGCTCTGAGAAGGCACCCCGCCTTACTTTCTTCCACCCCCCCGGAGAGGGCAAAACAGCACAAGGATAAGCTGTCGGATCTCTGGGCGCCCCTTACTTTCAATTCCCCCCCCGGAGAGGGCAACACAGCACAAGGAGTGACTGCCGGAGGTCCACGAGGATTTCGTGGATCGGCGTTGTGCCCCTCGTGCCGGCACCTCGCACGCTCCGCGCGCCAGGGAGGGGGGGTGCAGCGCCGATCCAAGAGATCAGCGCGGACTTCCGAAAGCTATGTGAATACATATACATATATATATATATATATATACACGTATCATGTATATATATATATATACGCAAGACTGCAGTGGCGCTTCGCGCCAGGCACCTTGGTCCTTGAAAATTGACATGCGGGCGGAATAGCAGGAAGGTCAAACCGACAATGTAGCGATAACTCCTTGTTGCCTTTTCCGGCATCGCCGCTATAATCACGTTGTTCGTTATCCTTCCTCCCTGCTTCGTTTTCTTCATTTTCGCCGTACCCTGCGCATTCTCCCCATCCTCTTCAGCTCTTTTTTGCGGAGGCTCCTCCTTGGAGAGCCTCTGGGGGCCTCACAAAAGCTGTTTCAGGCTTTCTTAAGGCCTTCTGGAGGCCTCCTGGGCGTATTCTGGGGGCCTCTGGGGGCTTCCTCGGGCCACCCTGCCTCCAACCGCGGTCTCCCTGAACGACCGGGTCACGATTTGGGATGCTTCGGAGGGTGTCTTGGGGCCATCTTGGGCCGCCATGGGGCTCTCTGAGGGCCATCTTGGATCCGTGTTGTGCCGTTTTGGGGCTCTCTTGGACTGCCTGGAAGCCCTTTCGGATGGTTGTGGGGCGATTTGGGAGCCTCCCAGGCGGCTTCGGACGCCCAGAAGACCGCCGTCTTGGAGCGTCGGGAAGCCGAAAAGAGGAGAACCCCAAAATTCACCAAAAATCAACAGAAAATCAATGATGTTTGCCTCTCGGGGCCTTCTTGGGAGTGCTCTTGGAGGCCTCTTTGGGGCCGTCCTGGAGGCCTCTTGGGCCATCTTGAGGTCACGTCGGTCACTCTGGAGCGCTCTTGTGCTGTCTTGGGGGTCTCTAGGACGTCTCCGATGACCCCCCTGATCGCCCTAGGTGTGCTGGGAAGGCTTGGCAAAACGCCCTGCGAGGCCCGGGAGGCCGCTTCGAGGCCCATCCAGAGGGTCCCAAAGCCCCAGATCCCGGGAGTCCTGTTTGGGGGGGGGGGGTCCCCCTAGGAAGAGGAATATACTAGAACCATCACGCGCGCTTCGCGCGCGCCCAAGTTCTAGCTAGGCTTGATAAGCTAGCTCATGTAATCTCATGTTGGTCGCTTCTTGCGTCCATGGACTCCCTTGGAGGCCCTGCGCAAGCCTCGGACTCGTATAGAAGGGGAAGTGCGGAAACGCAGAAATCATGAATCCCCTTTAGGTATTCAACGATTTGGAGCCCTCAAAGGCTTCCTTGTTTTTGTTGGGGGAGGTGAGGGGGGTCTGAATTGTGGTCTTTTGTGCAAGAGTAGACCGGGAGCCAAACTTGAAAAAAAGGAATTGTGGGATTTCCATTTTTTCCTGTTCCTCGGCGCTGGTCGGCGCTGTTTTTTGTTTGTGCCTCGCGGGTTTTGTTAGCCGGGCCCCTCAGGGGTGTGGGATCTTCTGGACCCCTTGGGGGTTCTGGAGGCCTCCTGGAGGCCTGGAGAGCTGTTGGAAGGGTGTCTCGGGCTGCGCGGGAGCGTGTTGGGCCGTTCCTTACGTTCTGGGGGCTCCTTGGGGTCGTCTTGGGCTGTCCTTGGGCGTCTTGGGGGCCCCCCGGGAAGCCGGGAGGCGCGGTACCGGCCAGATGTCAGGGGATGTGTAGGACCCCCGTGTAGGAGTCCCATTTTGATAAAAAAAGGGGGATTCTGGGAATTCTTTTTTTTCCAATCCTCGATCTTCGAGGGTTGGAAGCGGGAAAGCGTGAGAAGGCGAAAAACATTAGATAAACGATTGGAGATCAACGATTTTACCCTCTTTGAGCTCTCTCGGGACGGCTCTCGCAGCTCTCTTGGGCTGTTCTTGTAGCCTCGTCGGGGTCTTTTTGGGGCCTCTCAGGGATCGGGGGTGAATTGGGGGCCTCTCGGGGGTCCGGAGGCCTCTCGGGGTTCTCTGGAAGCCTCCTGCTCCCGCTCGTGGGCCCGTCTTGGGCCTGCTCTGGGGTGGTCTGGGGAAGCTCGTAAGCGCGAGAAGCCAAAAACATTAATTAAACACAAAAAAACGACGATGTTGGCCTCTTCGGGCCGTCCTGGGACGCCTCTCGGACCTCTCTTGGGCTCTCTTGGAGGTTACCTGGGAGCCTCTAGAGCCGTCGGAAGTCTGACTTGGGCTGCTTGGGAACATCTTGGGCCATCCTTTTGCATTCTGGGGGCTCCTGGGAGCGCTGTGGAGGCTCCCCGGAAAGGCCGGGGGAGCGGTACCAGGAGCGTTCCCGAGATGTGGCGGGGAGGTGTGGGACCCGGGGCCGGGGGGGGCGGCTATTATTATTATTATTATTATTATTTTTATTATTATTAGTATTATTATTAGTATTATTAGTATTATTTTTATATTATTATTATTCTCATTATTAGTGTTATTATTATTATTATTATTATTAGTATTGATATATATATATATATATATATATATATATGTATACATACATACATACTGCAATCTGCGCTTGCACTAAAGGGGTCCTAGCGGAAATTGAAAGATTCGGCGAAAGTTTCTCGCCGATTTTGGTGGCCGGCTGGGTTCCCGGATCATTGGTTCCGGGCCGATTTCGGTTGGTTTCGGGTTCCCGATCTCTTTATCGATCTCTTTACCGATCCCATTTCAAACCATCCACTGATTGGATGTTTCCCTGGTGTAATATGTGTGTATGTGTGTGCTGTTTCCCCTGCTCTGTTTTCGGCTCCTGGCTATCCCTTGAGAAGGAAGCTGGCTAACATGCACTCTGTGTTGCACTATGCAGGCGTTGCAATCCATGTGGGGTGGCGACGGGGCAGTGACGGCGGCAACAAGCGCGGCGACTGACAGACAGGCCCAGACGACGGGCGGCGACGGGGCGGCGACGGGGCAGCGACGGCGGCGACAAGCGCGGCGACTGACAGACAGGCCCAGACGACGGGCGGCGTCGAGGCGGCGACGCGGCGGCGACGGCGGCGATAAGCGCGGCGACCGACAGACAGGCCCAGACGATGGGTGGCGTCGAGGCGGCGACGGGGCGGCGACGGCGGCAACCTAGCCGCCGGACTGACAGACAGGCTCCCTTCCCTAGTTGCAAGTAAGAGCCCCTAAGTGCCAGCGTTGTTTGGGGAATGAGAGTTCAATTCCATCCAGCAACTTAATCCTCGACCGACGATCAAAGAGAGCGCCCTGGGAGGACGCCACGACCTTCGCAGTGCTGTTCCAATTGAAGACGTTGTTCACGGCCTTGCTCAGCGTTCTGGTGCTGGGCAAGAAGCTCGGCCCCGTGCGATGGATCGCGCTCTTCATCCTGGCGGGCAGCCCAGACGAGATCCAGGGAGGAGAAGAGGGAGGAGGAGGAGGAGGAGGAGGAGGCGAATGAGGGAGAGGAGGGAGACAGACATGAGGGATGATGATGATGATGATGATGATGATGATGATGATGATGATGATGATGATGATGATGATGATGATGTGATGATGATGAGGAGGATGAGGAGGAGGAGGGAGGAGGAGGAGGAGGAGCAGGAGGCAGGAGAGGACGGAGGAGGAGGAGGGAGGAGGAAAACGGAGGAGGAGGAGGGAGGAGGAGGAGGAGGAGGAGGAGAGAGGAGGAGGAGAGAGGAGGAGGAGAGAGGAGGAGGAGGAGGAGGAGAGAGGGATGCACGAGGGAGCGCGCGCACGCCTCCCACCCTCTCGCCGGGACTGCACTCGCCTCGCGTGCGCCCCTCCTTCGTCTCCGCTCCCCCACGCGGCCTCTCCGAGGGGGCGAGGCAGCGTGGCGTCGCCCCCGGGCGGGAGCCGCGCTCCGCGACGGGCCGGCGGGGCCCTCGCGCCGAAGCGCCTCGCCGCGCGACCCGGCGCCGCCCGCGCGCGGCGAGGCGGCCAGCCTCGCGCCCTCGCTAGCGGCGCAGCTGCGCTGCGCCTGCGGCGGGGTCCCTCCTCCTCCTGCCCCTCACTCCTCCTCCCTCCCTCCTCCTCCTCCTCTCCTCCTCCTCTCCTCCTCCTCCTCCTCCTCCTCCTCCTCCTCCTCCTCACCCTTCACCCTCACCCTCCTCACACCCTCCCTCCTCCTCCTCCTCCTCCTCCTCCTCCTTCTCTTCTCCTTCTCTCCTCCTTCTCTCCTTCCTCCTCCTCCTCCTCCTCCTTCTCCTGCCGCGCCCCGCCGACGGCGGTGGCCCCTCGCGGTGCGACGGGGCGCGCCGTCGCCTCGCGCGGGGGCGGGGCTGCGCCGCGCCGGTGGGGGCCTCGACTGCACGCAAGGATGGGCCCGTTTTCCACCACCACCACCACCACCACCACCACAAGTTGTATGGGGGGAAGGAGGACGAGGAGGAGGAGGACGAAGAGGAGGACGAAGAGGAGGACGAGGAGGAGGACGAGGAGGAGGAGGAGGAGGAGGAGGAGGAGGAGGAGGAGGAGGAGGACCCCTCCCCCTCCAACTTACGGTGGTGATGGTGGTGGAAAACAGGCCCATCACGTAAGGGTGACCAGGGCTCAAGCGAAACGATGTTTTGGCGATGTCCTGGGCCATGTTCATTTCGATTTCGTTTTGCAGCCAAGGGCGGACGGGAGACACGCCGAGGGAGAACGAGAGCAGAACCGAAACGAAAAACACTGCTCTGATCGAGCCCTGGCGTAAGAGTGATCCTTCGCAGGAGTGACCTTTGGTGCGGGCCCACCCGGGTCCCCCGATCGTCGAACGCGCTGCGGCAAAAGCGTCTTGCGCGCTCGTGTTTGATCCCTCCGCGAGGAGGAGGAGCAGGAGGAGGAGGAGGAGGAGGAGGAGGAGGAGGAGGAGGAAGGAGGAGGAGGAGGAGGAGGAGGAGGAAGAGGAATAGGAGGAGGAGGAGGAGGAGGAGGAGGAGAAAGAGGAGGAGGAGGGAGGAGGAGGAGGAGGGGGAGGAGGGGAGGAGGAGGAGGAGGAGGGGGGGAGGGGGAGGAGGAGGAGGAGGAGGAGGATTTTCGTCATCGGTCCCATAGGGCATGAACTCTATCAGCGGCGACCGAGGAGGCTTATGCTCGAGCCTCGGTCGAGAGCGCCCTGTGGCGTTGCACAAGAGGCTCTGAAACAAACTAGGCAGAGCGCAAGCACACGGCGCCAGCACGGTCCACGAAGCTAACTTCGCCAGACCACTGGTGACACGCACAAGCACACTGCAGCAGCATTAAACGCGTTCGACGTGAAACGCCTCCTCCTCGGCTGCCATAAGAGGATCTTCGTCCTCATCATGGGCGAGGCGCACGGCTGCCTCGCGCAAAGCTTGGCCAGAAGGCTCTCGCGGCTCCTGTCCATCAGCAAGCAAAACACCCAAAGATCTCGACGCCTCTTCCTCGGCAGCAAAATCGTCGACGGGCTCCTCTACACGCGCAAATGCGCTGGAGGGACTCTGACTCGATGCCGAAGAGTGGTGCCGAGATGCCGTGACGACACGATCGCTCGAATTGGCGGCCGCCTCCTTTGCCTGGATCCGCGCCTGCAGCGCGATCATACCAGGCGTCTGGACTAGGCCAGAAGCATTAACACCTGAAACGACCACCTCCTGTGGCGGTGGCTGAGACGCAGAGAAACACAAAAACGAGCTGCCTCTTCTCGTGCTGCCCGTGAGCCTCGAAGGGTCCCGATAATGGGGGTAGAGGCCATTGTATATGCGGCGGAGAATAGTCGGAGCTCCGCTCAACCGACGTTGTGAACACTCCTGCCCGAGCTTATGGCAGCGACTGGCTGTGTACGCTCCGCACACCATGCAAAAGAAAAGAGTTTTCTCGGCATCGCCCTTTAAGACTCGGCAGTGGGCAAGGGTGTGACCGAGGCTGACATCTAAAGTTTTACGCCACGTGCTACTCATGCCTTTGCACCCTAACATAGGTCTGGAAAGCGGGTCGGTCCATAAAGCAAAGCAATGCAAGCACCGCGCCCTGCCTTGTTCGAGGTCCTGCCACGCATGCCAGCCCCCTGAAATGTAAAAACTTGGACCTAGGGCCAAAGCTCATACGATCAAATCTCTCATGAGGGAAGGCCGAAAGGACCTTTCCGCAAACACGTGCAACAATCCGCAGTAGTTTACATTTCCTGTCCACCTCCTCGCTTTCATTCTGAGAGGGTTGGGGGTGAGAGAGGAGAGCTGTTTTGGCCTGAGCATCTGCATGCCAGTTTCCCAAGCCGATACGACGTTCATCATCGGGCAGAGCGTCAATATCAGCCAGTTGTCGGTGCGCTGGCGTATGAGAGACAACAGGAGAATGGCCAGCGACTTCGTGCAGCAGCGATCCGCGTCGCAGACCAGCATAACGATGCTTCCTAGAAACTTGATGCCTGGGATCCGCACGGCATAACTTAACGACGACCAGGCTGTCCCCGTACCTTCTTCCTCCGAGCTGCTGGAACATGGGAAGCAAAGCCATCGCCTGATGTTCGGCGGCCTGTGATGTTTGTGGAAGGGTGTCCAGGACCGTGCCACGAGCAGTGGCAACAATTTCATTGGGTCGGGACCCCAAAAAGATCCAGGAGTAGGAAGCTCTCGAGAGCTCACGGATCCAATGTTTGCTGGTCGAACCATCCACGCACACATCGAGCCCCCGCAAATCGATCGCGTCCCAAGGCACCGCGGCGCCCGAGGCATCATACAGTTGAGGGTTCGGCTCGGGGGAAGGGGGCGGATACGAGGCTTCGGGGTGGGACCATTTCATCTCATCAAAGAAAAGCCGATCCTCGCTCTCGATCGCCTCCGCATGCCATTCGACAGGGACCCCGTCCAGCGCCTCGGCTCGAGCCGCAGCCGCCGTCGGGTGCATGCACTGCCACAGGCGGTGTCGAACGCTGCCGGGCTGCCCGCAAAGTGGGCGCAAGCCATCCGTCTGGTACCCGCAGGCACGAGCTCGCGCACGAGTCCACACTCCCTTACAGAAACAGGTGAGGGCCAGATATTTTTCACGAGGGCTAAGGCCCTTTCCTTGGGGCCCCAGAAACTTCTTGAGGGGCTCAACACAAACGCGATCGCCACCAAACCCAGGAGTGTGCTCGGCCAGGGCCCGCTCGTGGGCCCTCTGGGTAGCGAGATCCAGGAGGTGAGCAAGCATCGCGGGGGAGGTGTAACCTAAATGGACTTCTCTATCTTGATCGCCGCGAAAAGTCAAAGCCGACGTATAGACCCATCCCAGTCTATGAAGGCTGAGATGCATACGCTGCACAGGTCCCCTGGAAGACCGCCAGGTGACATCATCATCGAAGGGTATCGTGCGCCAGATGGAGCACAAATCCTTAACCGTGTACTGGGATATTTGAGGACACGTGATCGCCGTCCACACCACCCCAGCCCAGTGAAACGCAGGAGCAACAGCAGCGCGCCACACAGGATCGCCTAGTATGGCGAGCTTGGCGTGCAAAGAACATCCCTGGTGTCGAGGGGGCTTGTGGGCTAAGGGGACCCGTCGAGCCTGTTGGAGTTCCTGATTGCTCATCCCTATCACCCCAGATCCAAAACTGGCCGCGGGCAAAACTCCAGCGACATAGATTTTTCCCATACGACCTTTCTGACGAGGAAGGGCATGACGATATCGCTGGAGGACGCGGCGCCGCCGACGCATATCACGAAGGCGGGCCCGTCGTCTTCACAAAGCTCTGGGTGCCGAACGACGCTGGCCAGGAGCCAGGTCGGTGCCGAGTGAGACCGCGCTGTTAGAGACTTGCCCAGACATGTGCCCAAGATGTCGTGCGATACTCTTGGCCATCGCGAGCGAACTGCCGAACGTGCAAACTGTGTCAGGATGCACCGCAACTCGAAGCTCATCTCTAAAGATGATGAACAACGCTGCTGCTGCTCGAGTAACATTGCTAATCACCTCCTCCTCCGCCCCCTCGGTCGTCACGCTGTCATCGTCGACATAAGAGGATAACCACACATCACCATGGCTGGCAACGAACTTATCGAAGGCCTCGATACTATAGACGCGAACGAATACATCATTAAAGATATCGCCCGCGGGTAAGCCCGAAGAGGCGAAGTAGGGCACAGAAGCATATTGGGCACCCAGCCGTAGCAACCGAGGGCCTCGCCAATAATTGTATGTCGTCTTCACAATCGTAGCATCAATGCCATAATCTAGGGCGCGCTGGCGCAGCACGGAGAGATCGAAGGACTCGTAATACTTAGTCCCGTCCCATGTGAATCCCCCCGTCACCTTATCGTCATGGTGCGCGACCTCGGCCCGTACGGCCTGATGCCGCGCAGCGTCTTCAGCACTCCTACCTGGTCCGAAAGCCCAGTACTTGCGAGGATACCTATCATTGAAGTCAACAATGGCGGGGCGCCT